AAAAAAAAGTGTTCTGAAGTTGTAAGGACAATTTTACATGCTTTATAATTCTTCTGTATCAGTAAAAATTTACAGAACTTACAACTTACATAATAACAGTAGTATAAATACTACCTCTCTGAGTTGACTACTGCTGGTCAAAAGGAATCGTTCTCCAGCAACTTGATGAGCTTCCTGTTCAAGCTCTTTGAGTCGCAACTACAAATCAATACATCAGAATTACTCTGTTTACGTTGTTACTTTCTTCATTATCTGCTACTTCCTAGGTTAACAAGTATATTGGACTTCTATTTTAAAATAGGGTACTTGATAATGTCTAATCATTGCCAGCTATCAACATTTGGTTTAGTAGATTGCTTATATACTCTTTAATCTATATTTCTTCATGATCTGGGAAAGGGGATTTACTGTAGTAAAAAGTATCAAAATTTGTGGGAAAATAATTTAGATTACTGAAGACTATAGAGATCTGTGAGAAGCAGAGCTATGCCAATTATTCTGGTAAATTAATAATCTGTCAGACCACTATGATTATCTAGTCAGATTTTATGCTACAAAATAGGATTCTCCTGTAGCTATTTTTATCAATGGGGAAATGGCAAACTTGGAACTCTCAGAACGCTTAAGTTGTAAAGACTGTTTTATTTACAAAGTGAGATAGAAATACGTATCACTTCTCAGGAAGATGGTCACTGCTAACTGTAGGTTCAGAAAGAATCATTACAATTTTTACTCTACAACACATAACCCAAAAGGACCTGTGCATTTTGCAAAGCAATCTCAGTTCTGGCGCAAGGCTAATGAAGCAAGCGTCTCTTTTTTACTTGCCTAAACATGGAAGTATCCTAAAATGTAAATATCATTAGTTATATTTATAATAATAAAAATACTGGAACCTCCAAACTGTCAGGTAAAATGTGACAAAACAAAAAGATTCCTCCTTTTTTTAATCAGTTATTCTCAGTAAAAGCAGAAAGACAATGCTATACACTTTCCAAAAGAAAAAATAAAGACAAAATTTACCCCCAGAATTTCTGATGTTTTCTTCAGTTCTTGTTTGTTCACATGTATTTTGTGTGTTTCCATCACTGTAAATACAATTATAGGCTGAGAACACTTACAATTGACAATTTTGATCTTACATGTTTCTTAGACTATAAAATGAAAACTCAAACTCACACAGCTGTTATGACGCTAAGATAACATCAAGTATTCTGAGGTAAAACATTCTACTTTACATAGTCAGCAGCTGCGTGAAAATAGTGAAGATTCATATTCTGAACTGAACTTTCATACCTGCCAGAATTTTGATAAGTGGAAGCTCTAATGTGCAAAATAATTTCCACAAACCTTGAACCTGTAAAGCAAGATACAAATAAATTCTTCAGCATCAGCTAATTTTAATCTTAAAACATATAGTAGTGTCATTGTGTGGATCTATTTCCCAGTAAGCAGTATTTCACTTTCTGTATAACCCCTTTTTACATGACAACACTTTGTGGAATGAAATACTACTTAGTGTGAATAATAGTATCTAAATACTGTAGCCCATTATCACTTCATTTTGTGTGTGGTAGTAGTAATACATTTTGTAATAGTAACCATTTTGTACAGGAATAGTAATACAGAAATATACATACCTAATTTTTCCAAACGGTTTATTTTTAGAGGAAGATCCATTATAATAGCTATACAGTTATCCCTTTTTCTTTATTCACTTGAACAATTAAACAACCATTCAGAATTCGTAACTTTATTTTCATTAGGAAGAAAATAAAAGATTCTAAGGTTATGTACCCAATTTAGTTACAAAGAACAGGAATTCTGTTTTTCTGTAACCACTGAAGGAATCGGACAGCAACACTTATCTAAAAACTCCTCCTGTAGGCTGGCTTTCAGCGTTTCTGTGCCTTTGGTATTTCTGTGCCTTTGGTGTTTCCCTGTTGCCTTCCTTCACAGATTGCTTCACCATACTGCTGGGCCACTTAGATATCCAGAGGAATATGGCTCCATCAATCAATGGTCTAAGCCCTACACTTGCTACCATGAATTTCAAGGAAAACTCCTAGGATTCTATGATGTACCTTCTACCAGAACCTGAGCATATCCCTAAATTCTGACTTTTCCAGGTATATGATTACAGGGAGAAAATAAACACACACACAAAGAAAATCAACACTAAAAGACTTCTTGAGATGCATTCTGAACTGCAATAAGGGCTAAAATAGAGTAAAATAGTTCCCTTGGAAGGGACCTACAACCATCACCTAGTCCAACTGCCTGGGTATTTCAGGGCTGACCAAAAGTTAAAGCATGTTGTTAAGGGCATTGTCCAAATACCTCAAACACTGACAGGCTTGGGGCATTGACCACCTCTCTAGGAAGCCTGCTCCAGTGTTGGACCAGTGTTTGGATAATACTGCCTAGAGCAAAAGATACACTGAGAGTTTTTGTACCCAAGGATTACATCAAAAAACCACAGCTACACTCCGTTTTAATTCTGTTAATACTTTTTAGACTGTTTAACACAGCTTTAAAATATCAAAAGAAAAGTTACAATATTCTGAACATTTCCTGTTCTTAGAATCTTCATTTAAATATTTAGTTAACTGTTGCAGAGGAAAAGTTTCTTCTAAAGATTAACCTTGAGACTAACCATTTCCTCTTTCTGGAAAAAATGGCAAATTTGATGGGCAGCTTCATTTTAAATGTTGACCAGCAGTGTAAACCAGTAAGGACTGAAGCCTTCTATTTAACTCGAGTAGAGTTTCTGATTTGAATGAGAAGCACATCACTAACTCTAATTCATGATAATACCTCCAAAGTTATATCTGAGTAACTACTTTTTTTTATATCTTACCTGTAAGTCACGAGTAAGGTCCATCATTACTTTATAAAGCTTCTCCAAGCTCACACCTAAGTTTTGATACTGATATAAATAAATTTAAAAAAAAAATGGTTTAATGCTAACATAACAATATTTAGAGTATTATCTATTTTTAAAGGGATTAAACTATACATTTTTCATTATGTCTCCTGCTATATTTAACATTTTAGTAATGTTCTTAGATCTCTGATAAACACAGTTCTTGAACAGAGCAGTATAGATCATGAATATTCAAGGTTTTACCTGTTCCTTTATTTATGTTTTGCACCTACCAAGTATGGAGAAATAGTATCACTACAACTGCCTTTGACACTGAAGTCACAATTCTATTACTACTTGTAAAATGAGGAAAAATTCCTTGCAACTTTCTTTCTCCTAGCATTACTGCCGCTCTTCTGTGACTGAACCATTCACTTCTTTCCCTTCTTTTCCAGAGGTGTTCGGCACAGAGCCATGTCCCCTCATTCAGTCGGCTAGAACACCATTTTGAAATGCATGCAGACACTGAGAATATGACTGTTAGCTCCAAGAACCTGATCACTAAAAATAAACTTAATGTCAAACTATTATATTTGTTTATCAGGCTAATACACAAAATGTAAACAACGAAGTGCTGCTTTTCATTACTAAATTCCTGTGAGGAAAGACAGGGAATGTGAAAAATGCTGCAGACACAGATTTTTCTTTCCTGCAGCCTGTATCTTCAATGATGGCTGAACAATCCAAACTATGGAATAAATTTACATCCAAGCCTTTAAGTGCAAAAGCACTAGCATTGTCCCCTAAAATTCCTGGGCCACAACTCATAGAACCTAGGACAGCATTCCAGGGGACTAAAGTTATGCACTTGCCTGACCACATACTCTTCCCCAAGAATCACACACTGGTCTGTGACAGTGAAATTAAACTAAGGGTTATTTGTGTAAAAAGAAGCATTCACTCTGTGTTGATAAATGCTTCTGAGGATATAGCTGAAATATTGGGGCAACTTCTCCACAATACTTTAAGACAGACATTAAGTAATGTCAGATAGGCTAAAGAAGAAGATCAAAAATAATAGCAAATTTAGAAAACATGACCTACAGAAAAAGAGATTAATCAGGTTTATTTAGTTTACAAGAATAAGTTGAAGGAGGAGAACATAACAGTTTTTATAAAGAGAATCATATATCAATTATTTTCAGGTACACTACGTGTAGAACAATCAGCTTAACCTGCAGACTACAAAACTTTTCCATGAAGTTAAACTAGCATCTCTAAGGGACAGTACACGTTTTGATTGCTTCAAAAACATGTTAGACATTTTCTTGTTAATCTCTAGATTGCAGGCTTCATTGCCAACCACATTAAAAAAAAAAAAAAAGGTTTCAACCATATCTCCTCCTAAGTTTCATCAAATGACTCACAGTTATACTACCGCAGGATTTGCTAAATAGTACCGCAGGATTTGCCAAATAGTACTATTGCACTCACTTCATCCACTGCCTTCATAATAATTTAGAAAACTATTAGTATAGTGCCCTTCAGTCTTTCCATCTCCATCTTCAATAACCACAAATTTTTCCACATCCTCCTTACAAAGCAGCTGTTCCATTCTCTGACCTTTTAGGAGCCCACTGTGCCTTTCTTGAAATGCACAGACCAAAACTGCACAGTCTTGAACGCATGGGTGCACCAAGGTTTTCTATGGCAAAAAAAAAAAATCATGTCCTTTCCTTGTTCTCAATACCTTTCCTTATGGTGCCTATATTTTGTTGGCTTTTTGGCTGCTGCTACACATTCAATCAATAATGATTCCAAGATCTCTGTAAATTGAAACTACTCTGCATGCACTACTTTCAATTTATGCTCACTTCATTTAGTGAGATCCTCTAGACTTCCACATCCTGAGCTCAGGTTCTGACTATCCAAAAAGGTAGATGTGAGATTTTTTTCACATAAGGCACTATTTTAATAAGAGTATTTAAGACTCCTAAGAAAGAATCTAGTATAGGTCTGGTTTTATGTAATAAATGGGAAGGAAAAAAGGAAAAAAATCCCTGAAAGGAAAGACGGAGGAGAGGATTCTGACAGGGAAAATCTGCATTAAATCCCCTAAGAATATGGAATTTTGAGCAAGTACAGAAATCCAGAAAGCAAGATAATTATCCCAGACACAGTGCAGTACTGACTGCCAGATCCTGTCCATGACAGTTTTGGGGGGAAAAAAAACAAACACAAATCAATAGCAGGTAGAACTGCAGGATACCTAAGCTTAGTATTTTATGTTTGACAATATGAGTGTAATGTACATCACATGGAGGACTCATCAGAGCAGAAATTAATTTTGAGGTCGATAGAATCCTAACCCTTCAGAAGATAATCTGGTAACACTCACTGTTGCTTCCCCAATAGCCACGTTGCTGGAGACTGACCTAGATTTGGCTAGATTCTTGGTGAACAGGGCATCCCAAGATCATTTCTGCTAAATTAATATACATAGGCAGAGTTGAAAATAAATTTAAAATCTGATTCCCAAGTGAATTACATCTTTCTATCAAGAATAGTAAAAAAGTGTTTGTTTGTTTTTTTTTAAATAATATATTGACAGGAAATCAAATGGCCATGAAATCACATGGAAAGCTTCTCAATTGAAAAAGCTCCGAGAGGGTTCCTTGGGCATCCTGTAAGCAATCTACCTTCACATTTATCATTCACCCTATGCATATTTTAAAGGAATCCTAATTATTCTGTGCTGACTGTATTATTTATTCCTGCCTTGGAGCTGATGGAACACTAAGAGGGGCTTTCATGCTATGAGCTGCAGAAGTCTGTCTCTCCTTTACAGACCTGTAGCAATTCTACAGGTTTCTTACCATCTCATGAAATACCTCCAGTTGGGAGAAAAAAAATCTTCTCCAAAAGAAATATATTCTGCTTTCTCCACTCAAACTGAGCAAGAAAGTGTTTTCCTTACCAGAGTAAGGTCTCAGAAATCATGCTACCAAATCTGACTTTGTTGCCCATTTCAGAGTTTCATGGTTTTTATTTGATATATTCAGAATTTTTCTTTTGGTCCTTCTGTAATGAGAAGGAAAGAAAAGAACATTTCTACTTGTAATCAGATTTATACTCTCCTCCAAGATTGCATAGAAAATTAAGACAATGCTTCTGCTTGAATTAAACATTCAATATTTTGTAAAGAACAAACAAGATTCTATCATCCGGAAGAGCATAAGAAATGTAACTAGATGTAACATCACTCTACCAAACTGGATGTCATTAAGCTATGAGTTACAGACTAAAACAGAAAGATTGCCACTGAAATTGTTTCTAAGAATATTTTCTTAAGAACAGGCCTGATGTCAGAATACTATGGTCCTCCAGGGCTTTTAATCTGTCCAGCCAGAACAGTAGTTCTTTTGAAGCAAAAGCCAGGTAAGAATAATCAAAATGGTTGGGAAATCTTCAAAATCCTTCCTAAAGGAGGGTCTATATAGTCTAAACAGATCTCCAAATCAAGGATTTTTCTAAAATAAAAAAAATAAATTAAATTCTTATCAGAATTAATGGATGGGTGAGGATCTTCCTCTCTCTTCAGGGAGGTAAGGACCCTTCAGAGTTTGTGAGAAGATATCTTCTGGATACATTTTTCCATCTGAACAGGGTCTTTTGGAGGAACTGCTCCCTGAGCTAGATGCCATTATCTCCTCCTTGTCTTCAGGATGACTCTCAGAACCTCCTGGTTTTGTTTCTAGGGAGTGAGGATAGGCATGGACTAAGACACTAGTACATCTAAACACTTGATCCTGTGCCCTCACAGCACGAGAGTCAACTGTAAATCAGGTAAACACAAGCCACCCTCCAAACAGAGTATAAAATCTGCCCTGCACACAAAACTCACAATTTTGGCCTACTGTTTGCAAAACAGCCCCAGTATTTGAAGAAAAACAGAAGTTTGGAACCAAAGCATTACAGCAGATGCAGACTGACAAAAGCAATGCTTCACCCATTATTTGATCCAAACAGAATGCAGAAGGAATCCAAATTACTTGTCGCTGCTCAAACACAACAGAACCAGAACTGACTCAAAATTAGTTTATATTAGGATAAATTAGAACACATTATTGCTACAGAGGCATGCATTCTGGTACGCAGCTGGGGAAGAACCATCATGGGAACTTTATCATACTGGTCCAACTAATTTTTAAGAGAAACTAAGTGCCAAGCATTGCAGAGCATTGGAGACACTTATTAGTTACAAGAAGTTATGTTTCATGTTCAAAACAGAATTACCCAAGTTTTGGGGTAATTTTTGCAGCAGACACATTTTCCTATCACATACCATAAAACAAAGGGGCACTAGTATTGCAATCATTCAGAACACGCTTAAGCCTGGACTGTAGTTGTTTTTATCTTGAAATGACCATATGACTCAAGGTAAGAGCACATAAAACTAAACAGATTCTATGTAAATTGACGTCTGTTAGTGGGAAGCATGTCCCAGCAAAGATCCAGTAGCAAGAAAGAGTTAAAATGGCCTAATGAATTCCACTGACAGCCCATGCGCATTCCGCATCTGCTCAAGGGTTATTAGTCTATCCAAATTCAGCATTGTTTGTGTTGGTCATTTGTGAGTAGACAGGACAACTACTGTACAGGCTTCCCCTTGGCTGACAGCAGCCTTGAAGACTGCAAGACTGAGAAGCGGTAGGCCCTTGAAGGTAAGATGCAGAGGGCTCTCTTCAAAGTTTAAATATCTAGATCCACTTGTGGTCATCCTTGTTTTATAACAGTCTAGTCCTGTCAGTGAGGACTTCTCTCTACCCCCAACAGATTAATTCCAGTAGGTCCATATTCCAGTGAAAAGCCATCAACTTCTCTCCCCAAAACCTTGTCCACACCCACTGGTTCTGGAACAAATGAGCTGTCTGTGAAATATTATGCTTTCAGCAACAGACAGCTTACTTGATCCTATTATAGAGGTGGAAGTAAGCCCAATGACAGGCTTCAACTGACACCAAGATTCCTCATCAGCAAATGCAGCGATACCAAGAGTAGTATGATGTTTAACACCTGTTTCAGCAGAGGTTTCAAGGTATATGGACTATGACCTCTTCTACTGAGCCTTTTGGCACAGCATCAAATATATAGACAAGCAGCAATAGCACATATTCTGTGCTAGAGAGGTGTGTGGGTGAGTAGCCGGCTACAGAGTAAAATAGTAGTCATTCCAATTACTATGTGGGTGGACAAGACTAGCACAATACAGAGGGAGATTAACTGAAGTAGTGGGGCACAAGACATGATGTATCGCCTGGCATGGGTCCCTCTGAAAGTACAGACAACTGTTAGGAACCTACCAGTAAAGCCAGAGCAAGAAGGCTGAAGAGATAAATCTGGCAAAGAGCTAGGATTCACAGGAAGAACAGGGACTCACTGAGCAGAGAAGCCAAAAAGAAAGTGGGACAGTCCAGGGAACAAATTAACTGCATAAGGAATGGGGAGGGAAATAATCATAGGATGTTAGAGGGTGGCACTAACTGGGACTTGGGTGAACGAGTCAGCATAAAGGCACTGGAGATGGGGCAAGGAAACAAACGAGACCTAAAGTAGTGCAGGAAGGAAGTAAGACTTCAATATTTAACTCAGAGCTGGGAATCAGGATGACAAAGTTGAGAAATTATGACTAAGAATAGATGTGATATATGAAGAACAAAAGACTGAGTCAAGCTAAGGAAAGAGACAAGATTAAGGATGCTGACTCATAGGAGGGGAGATCACATACAGAAATAACCAACAAGTTTATAGCTTCTGTCTGTTTGCCTGTCCATTCTTCATTCCCGACACTAAAAGCTTAATTCATGAAGTGCCTTCTGAACAACTGCAGTTTACAGTTAGTGTTTTAAAGCAAACTGGCTCTGGTTTTTTCAGAAATGTCTATACTGATGCGTATGTGCTAATACAACTGACCTCTGTCCTTCCTCTAAGCCCACTTGACATATATGGATTTGTATCCTAGAAGCCCTATAATCATGTTACAATACTTGTGTCTGAACAAAAAAGGCCTCTGAAAAGTGAAAGGTTTCAAAAAAACATCATTTAGGTTGCTGTATGTCTATTTTTATCATTAAAACAACCTCTGAAGGCTAATATGTCCAGAGTAGATCACCATAGCCCAAAATACAAATACCAAAACTTTATAACATTCAGTAAGTTTCAACAGACAGTAAGACATTTCTATAGTGCTGGAAATCACTTCTTGAGAAGTTCATAATGCATTCTCTCTTACTGAGAATAAAAATTCACAGGTTTTCATACACACGCTTGAAGGTTCATATTTGACTCCCTACTGGTCCTCAGCCTATGATGTGGTGTCTTTACCAGCTGTGAAATTCAGCAAAATTGCTAATAACAATTAACTAAATACATGCTACAAGTTCACAGGAATTAGAGAATAAGGCATTAAACATTTTGGAAACAAAAGCTAGAAACTAATTTGCAAGGAGGTGGAAAAAAAAAAGATCAGATTATACATTAATTAATATTGTTACTGAACTTCATGGTTTTGAGGGAGAATTTTACAGCAGTTCCTAGAGAATATGATCCCATCCTGGTAGAATGCAGTGAACCCTTCCCTTCTCCCCTTTCTTTAATTAGAACTAGATTAAAATTAAAATCAGATTTCCAACAAGTAGTATTAATTTAGTAATTTTCTTCCATCAGAAAAGCATTATCTGTCATTTTTTTGCAATATTTTGTAAGCAAAAGCAATTTTTTCATAATTTCCTTCCCCTTTTAATCCAACAACAAACAATTTAAAACAAACTACTTACTGATGCATTTCTCAAAGTGCCTGTATCTGTATTTACTGTTTCCATAGAAAAAGGCTTTTCAAAATACTTCTGTATTAAACATTCAAAAGAGGGAACTGTGTCGCTGGGGTTTATCAGCCATGCTGCAATCCTTGGATCTAACACAACAGTCTCGGCAACTACAAAAGTAAGTTATTTCTGACAGTCAAAATATTTACATTACCTCCCATACCAAGAAATACCTCTAAAGTTTTGCCCATCTTTCCTGTAGACACACATCATAAGTAGACAAGCATTTACACTATGAAAATGTTAAATGTTGAAATTGCAGCTGTAATAAATGGTCAATATCATGACTACACAGGAGTAAGTTCAATATTGAATATTTTTTAAGAGGGTTTTTTTGTGGGTTAAGGGGTTTGTTTGTTGTTGTTCCCCTTTTTTTTTCCCCAAGTTTTAAAGTGTAAGTAAACCTTTGGTTCTTAAGATTGAGTGTAAAAGCCTCTCTTGTCACTGAATAATTTGAAAGTGAAGTTTTTCTTCTGAGTGTCTCCCTCTAGTACAGTTTTGTTGATGCTACTAACCAGATGGATATCCACAAAATAGCTATTGGGGATGAGGGGAGAGAAGATTTATTCCCTAGCAATCAGATTTCTGAGATCTTTAATGTATATATGAATTCACATATGGGTGAACAAAGCATTGTTCCCAAAAATCAGAACATTTCGTTCTATAGGATCATATGTGCTTACAGTGCACTTTCTCTCATGTTCACATAGATACATAAGATGGAGCAAGTCTAGTGCTGTTTCAGTTCCCTTTTTACTACAATCTCAACATATGTTGGTCGGGCTCCTCTCCCCAGCAATAGGACAAGAGGAAATGGTCTCAACTTGCGCCAGGGGAGGTTCAGGCTAGACATTAGGAAGAACTACTTCACTGTAAGAGTCGTTAAGCATTGGAACAGGCTGCCCAGGGAGGTGGTGGAGTCACCATCCCTGGAGGCGTTCAAAAAACGTTTAGATGTGGTGCTTCAAGACATGGTTTAGTGGGCATAGTGGCATTGGGTATACGGTTGGACTTGATGATCTTTGAGGTCTCTTCCAACCATAACGATTCTATGATTCTATGTACTGTAGTACTACAAAGAAGAGAGAGAAGCTATTAACTAGAATGCTTTGTGATATTTTTGAAGTATCCTTTTCAGTAACTCCTAAGTAAGTTCAAATGACAGCCTACAGGTACATTTATAGAAAACTCCATGCTACACAGCCTTACAGACTCACTTATCTGGAAGCAAACTTTAATGTCCATAATGCAAGTTACAGCTGCAGGACTCTTCTAAAGAGAATGAGGCCTGTTTACATCCACTGATACAACTGTTGCTGAAAAGAACTTCACGTGGCTGCTCAGCAGCTGTTAGAGAACGAGACATCTTGCTCCTGAATCAGCCTGAGCTCTGCTGGAGCGGCCAGATAACTGAAGGATACTTCATCTGCATGGTCTCATACCAGGATTTTACGTAGCTCACTACCCTTTTCTGTGAACACAAACAGCTATTCACCTCAAAAGCTAATATGCTAAAGAACAGCCTCAGAAATTGTCTCAAGGATACCCTTCTGATAGTGCTACTGAGAGTCTTTCTGTGATTGGAAGGACAGTTTCAGCCTTGCAATTGTGCAGCTTAAGAAACTATGTCAAACTCTGCATCCACTCCAAAACCAAACTTTTGATGTGTTCATGGGATTTCCACTGCTCTTTCAGCAGAAAGTAATCCCTACTGGAATTAAATGAAACTTTGACAACTGTAACAGATAGATTTGCCATGAACTCAAACGATGCATTGTGAAGAGGCAGATGAAGCAACTCTGCCTCACTGGAGGGCAGGAACACTCGGCAGCTGGTGGCTGTTGGAAAATGTCCAGAGGCTGCAGGAAGGCTCTGCCTAGTTAGATGCTGGACATTCACAAACTCATGTGAAGACTGCATGAAATAAGCATTGATTTTTCTAATAACAACATCTTACCAAGGATACATGGAAGAAGAGAATTCTGTTACCAAATAGTCTCTGAGATACCTCAAAGATCATTTTCTCATATCTCTATTTAAAATGAGCACAAGAGAGTCTTCAGCTGAAAAAGGATAAAGAATCAAACCCTCCAATCATCCATCCCTTCCTTCCCAACTAATATTTTCACCAAAGGTAAGGGTAGCAGTAACGAGTTATAACTACCAATTCAGTCTTGGAAAAAGGATGACACCTTCAAGGTGAGGAGGAGGCACACATGGAACTGAGACAGAGCAAAGCTGAAAGGATTGAGGCAACACCAGGGTCAAGCTGGGATGAAGTGAAAAGTCTGTGTTAATAAAAGCATACTTTCCTAAAGATTGTGAAATGGTACTCAAGTCCTCCATCTACTCTGAAACCTTAGTGAATCCCAATGGCAAAGCATGCCATATTTTACTAGTCAGGGCTAATGTATCTGTATGCATTCCACTGGTTAGTACATTAGTTAGAGAACAAGTGCAAACCTTCAACTGATTGCAGTCAATATGACACAGACAGAAATTTCAGTGTTTGCTTCATTTACAAAGATGGAATTTTTTACCTTCAAAAAGGCAGGGGTCTTGTGTTTAGAATTTTTTTACCATAGCAGAAATAATGTGTGAGGAAGTATCAAAGTTTTTAAAAACCTACACAAGAATTCTTTTGGATACTACAAACTTCAGATTCAAATCCTATGCATCAGATAGGATCTAACCTAGATCTAGTATTTCCTGTGTGTAGAGACTATAAAACGGTCACTAGTGCCAGTACCATCACGATGTTTCTTCCACTTCCCATTCCCAGGGCTAAGTGTCTTTTCTGTAAATCTTCACACCAGATTCTAAATCATTATCAGTTTACTGTGATTTACTGATGAAACTTTTCAGATGCTGAACACAAAACAAAGACTCTCCATAGAGAGAGTCCTTCCTGAAAGGCCACACTTATTTCTATAATTCACTCAGCAGTAATCTGATATAGAACCAAGAAAAAAAAAAACACATTATATTTACACCCTCTATCTTCTATTTTTAGTTGCTTTTAAATCCATTCAAGAGAGTCTTATTTGTTCCTGTCAAAAAAACAAGGATCGATTCAAGTGATTCCTAATTCTGACAACTATGAGCACCTCTGGAATTTATTTTAGCCTCTCCTGTTGAGCAAAGAAAGTTTTTCTAGGGAACATGAAACATGAAGCAGTTTGACTTTTTCAGCTACAGTCAGGACTGTGTTGAGAGCTTTTGTTTCCACTGGAAGCTATCCTTAAATTGTTCAATTATTTGATTCCCACTCTGAGAAGACAGGCATCATCTTGACATGCCAAGCCTTTGGTCTCCACCTCCCCCAAGAACGGTCTTCTTTTCCATGGTACTAAAACTCTGTTTTCCAATATATTACTTGACAACCAATCTAGTTACTTCTACGTCTAGTGATTCTAACAGAAATTAGGTTGTTACCTTGTTTCCAGCTAATTTCATTGTCATAAACTTGAAGTAGAGTCCTCAGGAAATCTTTTGCATTGAAGCAAATAATCGGAACTTTGCATTGTAGCATTTGAAACAACACTTGCCTGCACAGAAGTAGTTCATTAACACATACTATATTGCTACTAGATTTAGTAAATCTATTTACTTTATATATTTAATTAGCACCTAATACTGAACAGTTAACATAAGACATTTCTTTTTTCCTCTAAGAACAGGATACTGTATTTGAATATTAAATTCTCAATTCAGTAATACCTGAAGGTTCATTCCATGATAAATTAAACATCCTAGCAAATATGCCTTATCGTGTATTCATAAAGAAAACTAATCCTTATTTGACACTCAAAATTAAACGCAACCTTAATCCGAAACAGCAACTGGCATCCCTGTAATACTTTAATATACCTAAATAAGATCACAGAAGCTTCTGAGTTAGTGTAGTATTGTAAAATCATGATTTAAAAGTTACTAGACAATCTAAATTGCCATAATTGCCTAGTGTTAATATGCTATTTAAATCCAGAATGCTTCATCTTTGTCACATTTTTCAATTCCTTTTGAAAACTTCTATAGTTCCCACATCCATGCTATTTTAAATAATTTTACCAATTATATATATTAGCATATAGATTTATTAATTATTTCTGTCTTTTTTGTAAGTTCTATTTTGGGTAATATAGTAAAATAATTTCTTATAGAGCTTTCAAGTGTATTTATCTTTGGTGGTATGAAACCACAGCACCAAGTTTTTGGACATATTAGAAATTGTGTAGGTCATAAGGTATTATTGTCTGCAGTGTAGATCCACTATTAAACAACTGCACCATTCTTACAACAAATAATTACCTATAGGTTTCATCTAAATGCTAATACACTTCTTCAACTTGTTTATTATTGAATTTTTACTGTTCCTATGTACATGCTTTATTGATGTTATTCTCAATTCAGAACAAGCTACACTCAAACTAACAAGAAGTTATTAAACTAGCTGTCATACAACTCCACTATTACAGCTGGAGAAGTGCAGGTCAGTGAAGTGATTTGTTTCAAGTCACAGTGGCGCAGTGGCAGAGATGCAACTAATGACCAAGTCCAATACCTTGAAAATGAATGCTTTGTAATTTAATAACCCAAATTCAGCAGTTTACAATAAAACAGTTATTACTGAAAGTCATAAAATATTCTAATGAAGTTTTAATGTGACTATTGTATCTAAGACTCGGATTCAGTTCCCAATTCTCCCTTTATGGGATACTATTTCAAAGTTAATAGTAGGACTAAAAATGGAATTCTTTATACTAACTGGAAGTTTAAAACATAAACCAACTTTTTTTTAAATTTAGTCCAATTATTAAACAGATACATAAAGCACTTACTTTAAAAAAATCACCTTGTAATTTTGATGTATTATTATTACTGAATATTAGGAAAGTTTCATTCAGGATCTCAAAAGCCATTAAAAAAGCCTATTGTACTCAAAAAATTCAAAATATTAGCAGAGCTCAAAAAGGATGTTTACCATAATAACATCCATCAAAAATGTACTAGATAAGAAATGCAGTTCAGGAAATGGAAGATAATAAACCTGGATGAATCATATTTTTTGGTGCCATATAGCTGTAAACTGTTCACAAAGAATTTCTAAGTGAATGTAAACAGCTCCTACCAGAATCCCAACCTAGTTCTGCAGGGCTGCACTTAGTGATATGTTGAGCCCAAAGGAACAGTCTATTCTTACTCAGTTTATATCAGCCCAGGCTTCACACAAAACTAATACAGCCAATATGAAATTCAATGAGCTTGACGTGTAAGGAGATTAATCCCGCTCCATGTAATCAACATCACTGTTGCTAAAAGCATATGTAAAGTAAACCAGTATATTTTCCTACATACTCTCACCATGCAAATTTCTTGTGAGCCTGTTGTTCTTGTTCCCAAGGAGATGACCATTCAGTTTCTAAATAAATTAATTTATCATTTTCATTAGCAGCATTCCAAGTAGAGTCATCTGAAGAGTAACTGGGAGGGCAAGGATGATCAGTCTGACTCTTCACTAACACAGTAACTCCTTTTACCAATGAGGTTAAGACCTGTTAAGTATAATTACAATAGTGTTTCCTCTGACAGATTTTATGCAATCCTATAAAGAACATTTCCCAAATATACTGCAATACGAAACTCATTACATATACTAGAGTCATTGCATACAGCATTGACACAGTAGAGGAGCATGCAAATATTTCAGCCTTGAAACAAAAATCCACAGTGACAGACATAGTAAAAAGCAGGAAAAAAATATTCTAAATCAAAGTGTCTCACTTTAAGTATATAAATGCTTGTTTAGCCCAAGGAGTTTCTTTGGGTCTTTTTTGTTGTTGTTTCTTTGGTTTGTTTGTTTGTTGGGTTTTTTGTTTGTTGGGTTTTTTGTTTTTTTAAGTTTTACTTGGTAACTAAAAGTAAAATGTCATCAGAAGTATTAAGGTTTGCCTTATTTTACATTTATATTTTCGTAAGCAATAATACACAAAACTGGTCCAGATCCTAAGCTCCCAAAGAACATGGTTTTGTGTTTATCAGTCACATGCACAGTTCAAATGGTTCTACAAGACCGACTCTAAACACCTCAATCACTAACCTGCTCTGAGTTGAGCTGTGAAGAACCATCCTGAAATATCATAGTAGTTACAAAAGCCACTGCCTGTTCTATAGTAGCAAGCAATTCTCTTTTTTCTTCACATCCCAAACTCCTGATATCACAAGGATAATTTTTAGAGGACTCTGTTCGTCCAGAAGTACACTTGTCTCTTTCATGTGAAGAGGTGTAGGTCTTTAGAGGTAATCTTCTTGTCTTCTCTGCACCACATGTAAACACATCTTGCTTTCTTTTAAGGGCAGTAGCTATATTCTTTTCACCATCCTTCAGGTTTTTTGCTTCTACTGAAAGATTTCTTTCTCGATATCCCCGTGTTGGCAAATCTAAATCCTGGAAATAGCTCACTATTTTGGTATCTTGACAGCAAATCATTTCATTGATACACACTGTTCTGACTATCTGACTAGCAGTACTTTTTTCAGGGCTGGCAGATGTTTTTGACAAGGTAAATGTGGAATCATGAGTCTCCTGGAAAAATTGGAAATTTTTAAGTGAACCAATTATTCAGCTTATTAGGAGAAATAAAATAATTTATATAAGCATTGAAGGAAGTGACATTCTATGAAAAAAAACGCTGATACTAACAAAACAGTCGCTCTAGGGGAACCACATTACATAAACCAAAATTCAAGTATTTATCAGTAAAGATTGGTTTGTTGATTTATATTGCTTACATCCAAAACCACTACTGTTTTTTTAATCTAATATTAATCCAACACTAAAAATGGCAAATTAACACCTGTAAGATGCATCTAGTCCTGTAGCCTGTCTTCCACAGTGACTAGGTTATTAGTGACCTTTGTCTGAAGAGGCCATTCATCTCCATCTTTAGCTTCAATATTCAGAGCTTCTTTCATGACAGCTTAGTTTATTAAAGAACTTTTGGCAAGGGACCATAATGACTGCTTTGGAAATTCAAGTACACCAAGTCAACTGGATTTCCACCAATTTCTTCAAACAACTTACAGGATTGTAAGACATAACAAAAATATATATGAAAGTCGCACTGAAGAAGCATTATCAGGTGTATGAGTAAGTATTATATTCTGTTCTATTTAATCCACTATGCCCAAAACAGCTTTCCTACTCCAGATAGTCCCGGGATCCAAGCAAGAAGTTGCACGCTGATGTACGATTCTACTCCTTCATCCTTGATTTCCTTCAGAATTTCCTTGGTATGCTACTGGTCCTAGTATTTTCTGACTGGTTATTTTGCTACTTTTTTCTACAACCTCTTCAGCTGAGATAGATCATCTGTCTTCATTTCATAAACAAGGACTCTGGAATGGCAACTGGCTACCTTTCCAAGATTTCCCAACAGAAAGGTCTGTTTAACTATTTACAGATATAGAGAGTTGTATCTTCCCTCAATACTCCTCTTACGCCTTGATCATCAACAGGTCTTACAGGAGCCGGCAAGCTTTCAACTCCTGAGGTATTTGAAAAAATGATGTATTACTAGTGATGCATTTGCAAGCCATTTCTCAAAGTTTATTTGGACTATACTATTGTATATTTACATTTAACTTACTCAAATGAGGCAATTATAAAAGAATACAAATTATGGTAAGTTCAGCTTTTTGCATGATATTTGTTAGTAGTCTCCTTCATATTGTTGCCTAGCCATATTTCTTTTTCCTGGACAGATTTTAGTATTCATTTTAAATCTCCCAATATTCTGTTTTGAATAAATCCCTACACTACCTACAAATGTTTTGGGTTTGGATGGGAAATTCCATGTATTTTCTTTTAAAAGCTCCTTCATTTTTATGCAATTTCCTTTTTTGAAATGAAGCATTCCTGTAGTGATATATCTATCTTTTAATGCCTCAGAAAGATTATATTCCCTGTCAGAGTACCTTTCAGTAGAAGGATTTTGAACCTGATCTCACACAATCAAATAAAAACGTTTCTCTTGTGAGTTCTCTAACCATTCCACAAAGCAGTTGTCTCCTAATTTTCAGTCTCAGCATCATGCATATGTATCCTATACTTTTCCACTGAAAAGTCACTGAAGCCTTTCATAATTACTGTATTTTCTGCTCTTGTAGCACAGTCAGTCTCCTTCAGTACCTCTGCTAACATTACCATTCCAGAAATTAAGGTCTTCTCACTTCAAAAGAACCACAAGTCACTGCTGTGCAGGGCTCCCATCCCCTCCTCAAGACAACAATTTTCACTGATCAAAGGATATCATCTATCTCTATTCAATCTGTATTGATTGAGCAAGCCAGAATGACAAAGCCAGTATTTTTTTTTCATCTAGCTTTGCAGTATTCCTCAACCCATTTCCCGTATTCCCAAACCTCAGAACCACAGAGTCAAAAGACGAAAAAGGCTTAGACTGCTTGAGATCATACTTCACAAGATCAACTCTACAGCAAAAGTACAATTAACAGGTTCTAAGTGAATAGAAAAAGGGACTAATTAAGCTTCTGCTACTACCAAAATTAATAGTGGTTGTTCTGAACAAAGACAAATTAATTGGACTTAGGCAATGCTAATCAAAAAGTGGACAGTATAAAAAGTTACCGTAAGTGGAAAAATAGTACCACAGAAGGATCAAATGTTTAAGAGCCTTAGAAATACAACTAATTCACTCAATTGTATTCTCCAGTCAAATTGCAAATAGTTTTATTGTTTAACACAGTAGAATTTGAATTAGGACACAAGTAATTATAGAATCAGGAATAAGCAATTCTCTTTCAAAGGTTCAAAAAAAGAACAAAGGATTTTAATTATCAAGTCAGAATAATACAGCTGGAACTACAATTAGCCAGAGAGAAGCAGCAGCTTCCAGGAAGAACTTATCTTCTACTAGAAATAATGACATGGATGGTAGTAGAGAAAACAATCCCCAGGATGTAGTGTCATCATTTATGCAGATGTAGGAAAATTTCACTAGATGCAGTGAGTCAAAATTAGCACCTCATCATCACAAAAAGGGGTTCCACTACTATCCATGTGCACCTACAGCTGCACATCCATCTACGAGCCAATTTAATTTGTAGGAAACTATGCCACCCCACAAAAGAAACCAGTTTTCTGCATCTTAAGCAACATGAATGGACTTGCTGAAGTGTGCAACATGCATCAGAGTCAGAGTAAGGAAGGCTGTGAAATTTGCAGCTGGGACAGTACACTTGCAGTATCTGCAACACATCCATCAACTCAATGGATCTTACAATCACAGCTTGAGTTGGGGCTGCTGCAATTATCCATTCCCATCCTTGCACTGGCACTCACTGGCATGCACATTAAACCAAATTCAGAGAGATGATTAAACCAAAATTTTAACTTCCTATTACAAAGTAATTTTTCATATGATTCAGCTCACTTTATGATTATGTGCTAGTGATTGTTCAGTGACAGAGGTCTGAGAACATTTTTAAACCCTGGTAACTATCTAAATGCAGCAACCTCATTTATTTCTGATCAATCTGTCACGAAATACTAACTTCCTGTAAAAAGAATAACAGAAGTGGGGCCAAGACTCTCATAGGTAAATAGATGTCAAGTGCAAAATAAGACAGAGGAAAGTTACCTGAACTATAAACATATGCAATATATTCTGATAAAGTTTGTTATGAAAAAGCCAGTCTATAACAACTTCAAACCTGTTATAAAAAGACTGCTTTTAGTGGTCTTCAATCTCACAATATGCTTGCCTTTTCATTTTTCAGATATGCATCCTTATCACCTAGTTTATTTTCCTTTGTCTTCTCCATACCTTTAAAAAAAGAACAGGAAACATTTTACAATACAAGTGAATCTGACAGCAGTGTGTATACTTAGGTTACATATAGTGTTACATTACTGACACTTTTACCAAACCTAAAATAATTGCAAGAAAATTTTCCACAACAACCATTTTCCTCAAATTAATATCATTCATGCTTAAAAGGGCCCTGCAGGTTCCTAGATATGCATATGCAAAAGCATGCTCCGTCGCCATTAAGAAAAAATTAATTCAAATTTGCTACAAAGCAGACAAACACTTTCCATGGTATTCAGAAGAGGCATTACTCTAATACCATAAATATGCATATTTCCTTCTTTCAAGAAAACATATTGCATCTTGGTCAAAGTAAAGCTAGGGGCAAGAAGGAAAAAAAAATGTACAAAACCCAAATTCTACACACACTTCACACGGTTTAACTATTTTCTTGGAATTAGGCAATATTATTCCACAGTAATTTTCTTCAGTAAAAAACTATTTGCATTTGCATATACGCTTAGCATATCATGCCCTACAGAGAACTGAACATGCTTCATCTGCAGAGGATAATTTTTTCACGTTGTTCATCCTTGTGATAGAACAGGTATTGTAAGACCAGACAAGAACAGAGAGCAAGAATTCAGATCTATCAAATTGACAGAAAGGTAAGGTAACGACTAGCACCACAAGAAGCAAGATGGTGGTCAGTGCTGGGTCTAAGACAGAGCCCTGTGCCACAGCGCAGCCGTTAGTCTGGGCCCAGCACTGAACTACCAGTGATATTTAGCCTACAGCACTGAAAGCAGACAGATGCTGTAGTTAAGGAAGGCTTTGTAAATGCACCTCAGGACTCTGCACCATGCTGGATGAAACAGTTAGGCCATGCCCTCTCTTTTCTGCCCTCAATGCTGCCCAGTAGCCCCAAGGAGGAGAAGTGAAGACTGAAAAAGAACAAGGGGCAACAGGCTAGCAGTAATTACAATCTCAGTAGGTACAGGAAGAGGAACAGGGAAAAATAGAACTCCATTGAAGTGCGGGTCTCTCCAGAGTTTGCAATTAGTTAGCATTCCACTATCTCTAGATTCTTCTACTGCCCAGCCAAAAGACACCTCATGGGAAAAATACATATTTTGTCCCCTTCTAGCTCCTGGTCCATACCAAGTACAATGCTCCACTGCTGTTTTCAGCTACGAAATTTGCGTTACCAGCAGTAAGACACTTTCTGAATCTAATGTGCTCATGACCAATGTCAAACAAAGCGTAAGGTGATCTATTTCTATTTACTGAAATGGTTTTTAAAAAATTTTGTCTAGGCAAATCAGGACCCTAGACTTAAAATACTAAAAAAAAAAAAAGGTATTTTCAAACACTAACTAGCTTAGTCTCCAGAAGAAACTAAGCTTATTACTTTAGACTGTTACATGCAGGTTCATGTTGGTGTATGTGTATAATCAGTTATTTATCTCCAGCTCAGACTTCTAACCTGAGATGTTAGAATAGTGAATATGGGCATAGCTGTATTTGGAGCTTCAAACGTTTTAGGTTTGGTTTTCTTAACACTTTCTACAACAATAAAATTAATTTAAGAATGATAGTAACCGAGTTTACATTCAGTGTTTTCAATTGTTTCACAGCTAGATACTTTTCCTTGACAAATTCACCTTCCAGAGAAGATGATGACGATTACGTTTCTCTCCTTTAGCACACAGCATTCAGTATGACAGGTACGTAATCAGCTATGCAACCTCAAATCTCTGGTTTATGAAAACGTATCGCCAGATGGCAGTAGAAACCCATCCTTGCCTTCAAACTCCTTAAGGCTCGATGGAACCATTACAAGCTCTACTGCCAAGATAACCACAGAATTTCACCCGCTAGATCCACATTGCAGATATTTGTCCTGTTTGAACCCAGTATTTACCTTCTAAAGACAAACAGTTTTTCCAGTAAGTAGAATTTAATCTTTAAAGATCTATCAATAAAATACAGTTCAATACCAACTAACATGACAGTTTGGGGTGTTTTTTTAATTATTTTTTAAGGGAGGCAAACTTTTTCTTCTCTCCAGATCCACACTGATCAGCTAAAGTTCTGTATACAGGCAATTTCCTAAAAGCAATTCAAGTAAGTTTGTCCTTAAGCCTGTACACTAAAAACAATCACAAGTAATTACTACATGGAAAACAAGAGCAAGAAACACTAGTCATGGGACCTGCCGCCACTAAATGCCACTAAATGCTTATACTGTTCTTTCACTCCCCAGTAAGGATTTAGCAGCACTACAAAGAAGACTGCAAGCTCATCTGGCTAAAGATAGCAGACACCTTCATGGTGTTTTTTTTGAAAAAAAGAGAATCTGTAATTTTACAGCTTGATAGAGAACGACTGGATCAAGAGCGGACAACATAACACGGTATCAATATCGCACTGCACAAAGAGTTCCCGAGTCCAAGACAAAAAACATGACACAGGAATATCAAGGAAGGGAAAACAACAAGGTAGCAAGAGAAGTAGAATGGCAACTAAACTGAGGCAGAAAGAGATCTGATTTTCTTTAAATTTGAGTTTTGGTCCAAATGTATCATTTTAAAATGAACCTATCCCATACTTCTTCAAATGTGATCACTGCAGCACACCAAGGAACTACCACCCTTTTCACTGCTATACCAGGCTCCACTGATCCAATACTTTACTACTGAAAGAGCCTGAACTGTGATCTACATAAAACTGAGGCTGCAACAAACACCATGTACACAAGAACAAATACTAGATTTAAATCCTATTGACCAGATAATGTTCCAAGATCTAGTTCTCAGGAGAAAAGAGAGAACTGAAATTGAGCTAAACTCTCAATTTCTATCTGCTTCTTTCCAGAGTTACAAGACTGTCAGACTATAAAATGCACAGAAATTGAGAACAAAAATTCCATCTTGCAAAACCTCCCTAGCATCCACAACATTCCGAGTAAGATTTGCTCAACAGTCAAAGATCTGCTGAGGCACTTTTAACATTACCTAATTTGCTCTACCACTGGGACTTTTGTTCACTCTTCCCCCTAGAATTTCACAAGGAGTGAGCTGTCAATGAACATGTGTTTAAAGGACAGACATGAGTCTGGAGAGTTCACAGTCCTTCTGACAAGTTCCCAATACCTCTAGCGATCTTTAAATATCTAGTCAAGTTAACATATACATTTAATTTACAGTATTAGCTAATTAACAGCTTGAAATTTTCATCTACTTCTACACCACATAGCAGGAACAGGAAGGAAAAAAACCCACACAATCATTGAGGGTACTGGTAATATCCTGGTTCCTTCCATTCGCATAACATTATTTAATCAGGAAAGTCTCAGCAAATGTCACAGTTACAGCTTAATTCCTTTTCTAAATCTGGAATTTAACTCTCACCTTTTTTTTTTTCCTTTTAAATAGGGACTAGAAGTTTGATATTGTTTTGTTTGTTTGGGTTTCAATTTTTGAACTGAAAATAGAAACACTTCAATAGGCTAAGATTTACTCACTCTGGTTATTTTTTCTGCTAGTCTGAACTTCTACAGGAACAGACTGCAAAGCAGTCATAATCCTCTGAGCGATCTCAGATAAAGGCACTTTAGAAATCTCACATCCTATATATGATGTGTACCGTTCCATTTTTAAGATTAAACCTAAACACAGAACACACAAATTACGCATTATCAGGGTCACAGAACAATGCACACTTAAATTCTGCTGAAATTAAAGACGAAATGTAGTGAACTTGTTCAGCCATTCATTCTCCTCAGTAGAAAATGGCATTTCCTCCCTGACATGCCTATCAGTTATGTATTGTAAATAAAAATGAGCAAATTGTAATCATTTACTACTAAAGATTATCAGTAGTACACTAATTGGTAAATTAGTAACTTTGGAATAGTGTTTTAATACACTGATAAAAAAATTAAACAGCCTTATTAAGTACAGCTAACTTCTAATTTAAAAAAATTGAAAAATAAAACAGGAATTATCATTTCTGTCTGAAATACTTCCTCCCTCATCAACAACTTTAGACTAGTCTATATCTAGTATATGCATACATTTACTGTTATTGATGCTCAGATTTTATCAAGGAAAAAAGCCAAACCAAAAAACCTTGTAACTGTCTGCCAAATTAGAGACAATACAAAATGAAAGAAACAAGTATTACTATCATGATATACAAACATTAGTGACGTTTTGTTTCAGAAAATATTTATCATAAATGACCTCTATTTCTTAAACTTTGTATAACTGATGTACTCAAGTACTATTAAATATCAATGACTTTAAAACTACTACTACAGTTTATTTGCCAATTTAAGAAACGGGTCAGCAACGTCTAAAATCTCTACAAGCTTTGACCACGGCTATTGCTGTTCTAAATTTTATCCTTCTTTGAAAAGCAGTAGCTTTTCTAGTTGACCTGTAGCCATATTCTACAACATATACAAAGTACTTGGAAAGTCCTTAGATACAACACATATGGGAGAATTAGAAACAACGGTGTCCATACTGATGACTTCTTGTCTTTACAGTTAGACCAGAACAATGCATAAAACGTAGCACAAACAAGATAAATATCCAACATTTTCAAAATACTTAAAGGATTCAAGCTGTACAAGTCAATCGCCCTACCAAAACCTGCTGTTCAGTAAATTATTCCTATACAAGCTAGTAACTGGAGTCCTGTTACTCTGGTCTTCTCCGTCTAAACCCAGCACCTAAGTAGACTGTCAAGTTCAACTGTCAAGCAAACAATATTTCCTCTGCTTACATGGAAATATTTTTCTTAGCTCAAGACCATAGGCAGATTGCAAGTTTGAATATTTGCAAGCACCAACATTTGTATCCAGATTCAGAGGAAGATCCTTCAGGCTGCATTAGTATTGGTTAGATCTATCTAGCTCAAATTTTATAGTAAGCATGTGAAAAGGGGAGAGGCAGAATGGCCTTCTTTTCCCTGACATTCCAGGAGTCAGAAGCATAATCTTTCCTCCTAACTTTTATAATTAAAAGCAACACTTCCTTTAGACACAGGGTAAAAACACTCCCTGACTTCTCAGGGTGGGAAGCAGCAAACTACAAGCCTCAGGGCCAGACCAAAATGAGAGCCTAGCAGACTAAATATAAACAAGACACTACACATGAGAATAGGCCTAAAACCAACACACAGATTCGCCATAAATATTGACAACACTGAATGGAATTTATAGTGTTTGGTATTTAATAATAAACACAGTGTATAGAGTTAAGCAGCATGAAATCCAGACATAAAGACATCCAATCAGCAAGTTAAAAAAAAATTTAAATATTTAAAAATAAGTTATATTCACATGAAAGTTAAAATTATTTTGATGGCAGACTTTTAAGACTACTGTTACTGAAGGGAAAGCTAATTTGCTAACCTTCATCAATATGTACAATGCTTGAAAGCAAGTGCAGCAGATCCCATCAAAACATAAAAGACTTGAAGTTACCATACTATAAAAGCCTACTTAGTTCCACTGGTATATTAGGAAGCTGTATAAAAATTTGATAAACAGTCTAACAATGCACATGAAAGCAGGAGTATGAAAGCATCAGGACTCCAAACTGAAATGCCTATCATTATAAATTATAAAGCAAACTCAGAAGTCCAAAAGGAAAATTTAAAATTATTTTCCTTTCAAGAGTCCAGTATGAGTATGGACTGGTTTCAACGGAGAAAATACGCCATAAGTTAAATTAAGAGATATCGGAATGGTCTTAAAACAGATGGTCTTGGTACTTGAAAGAGATTCTGGTACATATTCCAACATATTTCTAACAAAATCGAATCTTCATAGGAGAACTGTAAGGGAAACAATCACAGAATATCTGCCTTGGAGAACTCTCCGCTTCAGAATGAGCGTATTATGTTCACGTTCCAAAATCTGGAATGTATTCTCTGTATTTATTTTTCAGTTAATATATCAAAGGTTCAAGCATGCAAGAAAACTTATCTCAAGGGTATGAAAAGTTCCTTTTTGTGCTATGCTGCGTGCAGTGGAAATCAACATACAGGCTAGCAGAAGAGCAGCCTAAATGTAATTCATTCAAATAACCAATGTATTAGTTCCTATCAAACAACTCTGACAGAACTGAGATTTGAACTCAGCAGGCAGATGCCAAACACCGTAAAGCAGCATACAATCCAAACTTGGTAACTGTGGCAGTTAAACATACATTGCGATGACAGGTAAATGTTAGCCTTGATAAGCTAATACTTATCATTCCATAAACTTGTAGACAGTTTACATTAACATGTTTTCCTTTCTTAAGAGTACACTGAAGTTTAAACATTAAGAATTCCACTGGTGGTGAAATTCCAGCATTTCTACTGGTGGTGAATCTTCCAGACCACTGGCTTTAGCCTCAGACTGCTGCTCAAGCTTCTCCACCATTTCTTTTAAGTGGTCTTCATCTTTGAAAAAATACACATACAAGTTTCTTTCCACCTGATGCAGCTTATTGGACTCTAAAAAGTTTCTCTTTGACTTCATATCAGCAATCAGATCCATAAGGAGTTGATTTAGTTTATTTAAATCAACTTCCAGTTGACGAAACTGCTCAGTAAGTTCCTACCAAAAAATACAAGACAGAAAAATTATTACTTTTATATTGTTAATACAATAGCCGAACTAGAAATATAAAAGTTTTTTGCTTTTGGAAGCCACTTTCATTGTAATTGAAAAGTAATAACAAAAAATAGAAACACAGGTGATAAGGAATTCCGTGCGACCTATGTAACTTTTGAGCCCCATGTAACGATACTTGCACCAGGTTATGAAAATGTAATTTCATTTACTTGTTTACTAAACCAGATGAGTTAAGACCATTAGAATCTAGCCTTCAACTGGATGGGTTGTTGAATGACATTTTCAATCAATTACAAGTCTTCATATCTAGTCAAATCTTAAAATGGAACAAAAAACACACAACAAAAAAGCCAATTCAATTTTAACATAATTAAATCATTAATTACCAGCTACAATTCTCCCAGCTGCCCTTCTTATGATAGTTCAGTGTAAGCAGGCTAGTCATCTACTTGCACATTATTTACTTATTAAAGGAATTACTTTTCTTGAGAAACAGTAGCAATAGAAAGAGGTATCACTAGGTTTTAAGAGGTAACTTGAATCAATAGAAAGGTATTTGATTGATTTAATAACGTGTAATCCCTAAATATGTATTGTTCCAACTACAAAGTTTCATTTTTTAATAAAAACTGTTCTGTATGTTGCAAATTCACTTGCCAGATGGAAGTGTTAAATGCATTTTTGTGTACTTAACTAAGGAAGCGTTATGTAACAGAAGACTCAATCCACTTTTGAGATATCTAGTTACTTAAAAACCATAACAAGCTGCATTTAACAACCCCTATTCCTGTTTAAAAGAGGCTCTAAACCCAACACCTGGGAGCTCTGTAGCAGGATTGTCCTACTACAACTGTCCTTCAAAAGTCTGATATTTTTACTTCATCCAAATGAGCCACCCATGGTTAGGCTTTTTAAGGGGCCAAACTGTACTATTCAGGTGCTACAGGTAACAGGGGGAAAAAAGTCCATCTGAAATAAAGAGAAATTTAAATGAGTTTTTTAGTGACACCATATCCAGAAAACATATTTCTCACACCATAAGCTTACTAGTAGTACAGGGTTGTATATGCCTTTGAAAGAAATTAAGTTAGATGCAACGATTTGCTTGGAAAGAAAAAAATTATTACCTGCCAACATTTACAAAATCCAACATTCGCTAAGAACAATGTAAATACTACGTCCATCATCACTATGCTAATAAATTTGTAGCTGACATGTGGGAGCCAGTTTGTGTGTCTACAGCCTTCATACTACATTTTTCTCAGTAAAAGAATATGACATACATTAATGTAATAATTTTAATAACTAGATAAGGGCTTACCCGACTACTGAGTTGTATTTGATTTCCTCCACGATACAGAGCATCATGAAGGGTATCCACATCACTTTTTAGCTGGGACAAAAGGAGAGACTGTTCTTGAGAAGACACTGCTAGCTGATCTTGTACTTTAGCACAGTCCTGCTTTAATTTCTGAGCCATCTGCTCCAGGCCTTCATATGTTTTAAACAATTGTTGCTTTTTATTTTCTCCTTCCAGAAGGTGATATAGCCTGTAATAAATGACATTTGACACAAGCATTTTTAAGTTTCCTAAGCACTCCTGTAATTATTCGTCAAGAGAAGACGTTCATGTTGAGAAGTCAGAGGACTAGTGAAGGCCAGTACTGCTCAGGGTACTCTTACTACACTGCTGGATCTCCCACTGATTTCATGATTCAATCTATATATAGCTAGTACATGATTAATGCTAATCCAAAATATTTCAATGTTAAATTAACAGTTATGAAATACCAAAGCAACAGTAAGTACACAATGAATGCAAACAGAAGTTTTCAATGTGCTTTTGCCAACTATTTCCCGACACTTCAAGGACTGCAAAGATAAAAATTTTTTTTAAGTGCTCAAAACCATCAGACTTCAATGGCCAATGAGAAATAAAAACAGTCTTTATATCATTTTCAAGCTTACTGGAGTATTTCCCATTTTCTGTCTATGAAGAGACTGCTAACAAATTCTCCA